TTTTTTTTTTTTTTACTTCAGAAAACTTAAGCTTAGATTTCATCTTTCCTTCATTTTCAGACTGCGTATTGGGTATCCGTTGAGATTTTGGAACGACAGAACCCGGAAATGCGAGCAAAAGTCATCTGTCATCTACTGAAAACTTGCAGGCATCTGAAAACCCTGCAAAATTTGAACTCTGAGGCAGCCCTTGTTTCCGCATTGAGAAACGCAGCTATTTACCGTTTGTACAAAACCTGGGCTTTGGTCCCCACGAAGGAGAAGGACTACTTGTCCCGTCGTTCGGAATTCCTCTTGGAGAAGGGGCAGTTCCGCGTGTTTCTAGAAGGGGCTGCACCCCCTTGCGTACCTTTTCTGGGTGAGTAAAATGCAAGTACTCTAGGTTCGTAAAAGATGATGAACAGCCAAATGGAGGCGGGTGAAACATTTATTAGACACCAATGAAGAATTGATGAGCAACAATAAAAATGTTTCATCCACTTACTCAGCTACAGATGGAAACAAGAAGAAGACTTCATGGTCAATGTTCTCCACTGAAGTGAAGTTTAATGGATCAAAAGGAGCTGCGCACTTGCATCTCTACAATCAATATTGATCCATTAAACTTCACTTCAGTGGAGAACATTGACCATGAAGTCTTCTTGTTTCCATCTGTAGCTGAGTAAGTGGATGAAACATTTATTAGACACCAATGAAGAATTGAACATTGACTGTGAGGTCTTCTTCTTGTTTCCATCTATATAGATGAGCAGTAAGTGGATATGAAACGTTTATTGGACAACAATGAAGGATTTATGAGCAAAGAAAATTTGCATCCGCCTCTATAGTGACGGGCATTTGGCTGTTTATCATCTTTTATGAACCAACCATTGTAGAAAATAATATTCGAAAAGTATAATACATGCAATAAAATAATTTTTTTCACTTCTAATGCAGCAGTAGAGTATATAGACAAGTGCTGGATATGTGTATGAAACGAGGATGTTCATACAGTACTGTTCTGTATAGTAATTTACAGGAGTATACCACTCGCACTTTTATTTCCCAGACTTCTGATAGAAATGGGCATTGCTCGTCAGCATTTACAAATGCCTCAGTTATTCTTCTTGCAACTTTTTCAATGTTGAATCGAGCCTTGGTGATTGTCCTTTGAATGTTCTTCAAATGTAGTTATTGTCTTATTGAGGAGTTTTTAATATAAAGAAATACAACGGTGACTTATGTTTGATCTGGATTTCACTGCGTGATGCTGTGCAATAAAAAAAAATTGAATGTTAATTTTTCTTCGTCCCTCACGGGGATTCCTCCTAACCTATCTCAAGTTCCTTATATAATGCTGAGTTGTGGACCTACGGCCGAACTATATACAGTATTAAAGTTCCTGAATTTCAGAGCATTTTAGCAGTTTACGTGATGTTTTTAATTACGTTCATACCTAGATATATGGGTATAAAAATGTGTAATACCTGTAGGCGGGAAAAGGATTGGACAACATTATCAAAGAATAAAGAACCGTATTACAACGGTACCCCGAGATACGGACGCGCCCCGGCTGACACTTGTAACATTCGACTTAGGGACATTTTAAAATCAAAAGATCTGGCCCAACATATCTGGACCATGTCTTTAGGAATAAACGCACAACATTTCCGGAAATATTGATTTTTTCAGTTTCAAAATATTGATGTATTTTGAACAAATTCAGCTATTTATATTCACAAAAATTAAAATACGCTTTATTATAATTTCGCCTTAATTCATAATACCAAAACAGGCTAATTTGTTCTATGTTCTGAGTTCCTTTCATCTAAACAGAGTACGTATACATAAATATAGACTTGCTGTGTTTGTGTTCTTTATTTTTCTGTTGATTATGTATCTTCAAGCCGTTGAGAAAATTCCTTCAGATTTTTTGAGGATGACGTATACGGTTTCCTAATTTTTGATGAACATGAGAACCAATTGAATATGTTTCCATTTAAGTGTATATGAGAAAATATCCTCCAACATGAGGATGTTCTGACAAGGAGAATTTCCAAGAACCAATTATTATGTTCACATCTCGGGGCCCGACTGCTTTGTATATACTTGCTTATTCTCGTTGTGACGGAATCTAGCAACACATAATTTGCGTATGCGTATTCACTCAGATTCATTTTTAAATCGACGATTCTCAGGTCCTTTCTTGACCGAACTGATCACTGTCGAAGAGGCCTACCGAGATGCGGACGGATCGAACTGTGCCAGCGTGGAGAGTAGGAAGCGAAAGATGGACGATGTTTTGCACGGTGT